TCATGCCAACGTTTGATAACCTCTTGCTCTGTAAGTGGTTGTGATGTTGGAACAACTTCTTCATCAATGACGCATTTCTTTATATCATCTGGGTGTCGGGTGAACATTCTACCATCTTTCTGTCTTTCCAGAAGGATAAATGAGCCAGTGTCATCAACATGTGTGACTTTGCATGAGTCAGGTAGAAAGGTTCGATGAAACTTAGATTCTTTGTTGTAGTTTCGTAATAATGCTCGATCCCCAATTTTAAATAAACTTTGGTAGCGATATTTGCGAATCGACCCTTGTCGATTTCCATTAAAGACAGAGCACAATGGCTTATGATCAGTAACAATATGTATGGTTGTGGGTGCTCCAACCAAATAATTTCTAAATCGACGGAGTCCAAAATCGAGACCAAGTTTCAGCAGAATTTGTAGTGCGTGATGCAAATGCTACTGGTTTAGCAGTGCCAAAGCTGTCACCCTGAGCTAACATAGCGCCCAGTCCGGTTATATGTGCGTCGGTAAATACATATATAGGTTTGTTAAGATTAAAATAAGGTAAATAAAGTCTTTGCGAAAAGCACTTCATAGATTCCTAAAACACCACTCGTGCTCACTTTTCCACACAAATCGAACACGGCCTTTCGTTAGTTCACGCAAAGGAGCTGATCGACAGGCAAAATTAGAAATGAAGTCAGAGTCAGATTGCATCATACATAAAAAACTAACTAACTGCTCTTCGTTTGTGGGTGCTTTCAAATGTTCCAAAGCGGACACTTTAGAAGGGTCTGGTCGCACGCCATCGGCACCAATTATCATACCCCAGAAGTCGATTTCCTTTTTTCCAAACGTACACTTGGACGGATTCAAAGTTAGACCTGACCTTGAGATGGCCTGCATAACAAGTCCAAGAGCTCCGTCATGCTCCTTGCGATTTTTAGCCGCAACAATAAGATCGTCGTGAATAAGATGAGTTTGAAGAATGTGGGCAAATAAAGGCTTTAGGGCTACATTTAGTTCACCGTGTGCTGGTTTTATTCCCATGGTAAAGCGTTTGTAACGATAAAGCTTGTCGTTAGCATGGAATACAGATAGAAAACGTGAATCAGGATGAAGTTCCCATG